GGCCTGACTAGAGGGGCCAGAGCCACAGCTGAGCCCCATAAGGAGGGGCACAACGCGTGTGTGTGTGTGTGTGTGTGTGTGTGTGTGTTCCTGTTCACACCTGCAGGAGATCCAGGTGATTCTTCCGGTGTGTGTTTGATAGCTGAACCTTCTTATGGGAGATGCCATAAGGAGGGGCACAACGTGTGTGTGTGTGTGTGTGTGTGTGTGTGTGTGTGTGTGTGTTCCTGTTCACACCTGCAGGAGATCCAGGTGATTCTTCCGGTGTGTGTTTGATAGCTGAACCTTCTTATGGGAGATGCCCAGAGCAATACAGAGCTCCTCAGTGAGGCTGGGAGGAGCAGCCCTTCCCCTGCACCCCGGGGTGCACACACGGGGAGCACACACGGGGACTCCTGCTGTGCCCTATGTGTCCCAGGAGACATGGAATCCCTGCTATACCCAATGCACCTCAGGAGACATGGGGGCTCCTGCTGCATCCCACACCCTCCAGGAGACAGAGAGTCCCTGCTATGCCCCATGTCCCCCAGGAGACAATTCCTGCGGCACCCCATTCCCCTCAGGAGGCTAACTGGACTCCAACACTGGCCCAGGGCCTGGCTGGGGGAAAAGAGATCCCTTCCCAGAAAAAGTTGTTCCTCAACTCCTACACAGACCCAACAAGGCCCTCTCCACCTCTCCAAGCCCATCCACTTCCTCTTTCATGGTCAGCCAGATGCTATTTCCCCAGAAACAACCCCAAACCTTCCTCTTCCCTTTCTGAGCAGACCTTGGTGCCAGGAGGCAAAGGAAACGGAAGGTCAAGACCCGCGCCCAGGCCTTCACCACACTCCACCCACCATATTTTTACTTTGGAATATTCCAGTGAACTGGAGGTCCTTGGGCCCAGCTTAGAGGATACAGCTCTCAGAAAGCAGCAAACAAAAAAAAAAAAAAAGAAAGCAGCAAACAGGCAAGCAGACAGACAGACACACAAACAGACACACTCTCCCTCTCTCCCTCTCTGAGAGGGAAGAGGTGGTCCCAAAACGTGTGGACCAATCAGAGCTTCAACAGTCCACCCACCCAGCAGGATCCAGCCTCAGAGCTTAAAATCTAGGGGGGGCAAAACACAGCTACCGCATGACCCGACCATTCCACACCTGGCACGTGCCCAAAAAAATGAAACCTGTTCACACAAGGCCTTGCTCTCAACTGTCCAGAGCAGACTGTTCACAACAGCCCCAAGGAGAGACAAGCCTCAGTGTTCACAGGCGGGTGAACGGACAAGACGTGGTCTTCCCTACAATGGAACGCCATGCAGCGACAGGAAGGGGTGGCCTGGAGTACCCCAAAGACTAACAGCCGCAGCTGCCAATGGGTTCCGACTCAGAGGCCCTGAGGGATGCAGTGGAACGGCCCCAAGGCTGTGGCCACTCCAGAAATGGATCACCAACCACATCTTTCTTCCAGCTGAGGGTTCAAAATGCTGACCTGCTGGACAGCAGCTGAGCGGTGAACCACTGAGCCACCAGGGCTGAGTGAAATAAGCCAGAAACACAAATCACTGTGTGTCTTGGGGAAGTTCTCTGGAGGGGAAGATGGTAAAGCTTTGTCTCACATATTTCGGACATGTTGAGAATTGCAGAGCCGACCCACAGCTGACCCTCCGGTGGTTTTTCAGAGGCAGTTACCAGCATGGGAGGAGACTGCCCATCTTTCTCCCACAGAGCAGCAGCGGGTGGCCTTGAACCCTGTGGCTTTGAGACTGCAGCCCAGCTTCTTGCCACTCCCAGCGCCTTAGAAGAGGCTGTTCCTCAGAGAGAGACATCGTCCTTGGAAAGTGGAGGGTCAGTAGAGGAGAGGAAGACACTCAATGAAGTGGATCTGTACCAATGAATTCAAATGTGCTGCGGGGGACGAGGAGCCCACAGGCTAGGCCACAGCTCAGATCTACTGTACACTGCGTTGCTATGAGCCATACCCAACGGGAACTAACAAAAAAGGATTCCGTTTCTACAGACTGGGACCCTGTGGTGTTCTGACTCCTGGGACCCTCCATCGCGTTTCTGAGGCTGTAACTCCTTACAGAAGCAGACGACCTAGTTTTACCCTGCTGGATTCGAACTGCTAACCTTCCCAACACAGCTCCTCATGCCAGGAAATGCACCCTGACAGGTGAACCCAGAGAGACAAGGAGTGGTAGTGGGGCTGGGGCTGAGGAGCTGGGAGCAACAGGCCATGACTGCTGACGGACACGGGCCTTCCCGGGGGATGATGATGAAATGAAACCCTGTAACGTCAGCTACGGACAACAATGCACAGCTTTACAAAATGCCACCACTCTGCTGCTGAAGAGGGAACTTTATGGTATGCGAATTTCATCTCCATCAAGTTTCTGTAAAAAACCAAAAACTTTCTATGAGCCCTCCTCGACAGGCACAGGGACGGGACCATGTCCTCCTCGTCCAAGTCTTATCCCAGCACAGACTGGGGGGCTCCCCACATTCAAGAGTCTCCCTCTGCAGTGTACTGAGGGGAAGGGACCTTGGAGGGGAACTCATCTGTTCCCCACTCCCTTTTCCACACAACCTCCGGTTACAGGGCTCCCCATTCATCTAAAAGATGACCTTCAGTCAGATCCTTTTAAGGAAACTGTAAGTTTCACTATGAAAAGAAGGGGCGTGGCCATAAGAATTCCTGTCAATCAGAAACTTTTAAGGGCCTCCCCCTCTCCATTTCCAGGGTCTCCCTGCAGGAGAGAGGGACAGAGGGACAGAGGACAGAAAAAAGCCTGCCCCATCCGAGTACCCGGCCCGACTGTGCCCATGAGCAACAGTGGTGAGGACCAGGCCACCCCTGCACTCCTGGGGGGGCTCCTGGGGGCCTGCCCTGAGGGGGCCTCAGACCTGCAGAGCTCAGGCCCTTCTGTGCAGGCAGAGGGGCAGGAAGTGACCCCGGGGGAGCAGTCCATCCTTGCAGGATGCACCCCAAATCTGGAAGAGCCCCAAGCCCTGTTCCTCCTCTAACCCCAAACCCTCACAAGGCCTGGAGTCTGGGTGGAAGCGGCCATGACAGGATTCAGAGAAAGTGGCCAGTCCTGCTCTAGGCCCAGGGTAGGGCCCTCAGCCGCTCCAGGCTTAATTACAGCTCTAGCATCTGGGGTTCAAAAGCTCTTTGTTTCCTAGAGGCTCTGGGTGAGGTGGAGGGCTTGAGGGGGGGTGTGCAGTCAAGCACACACATGTGGGGCTCCCCTCAACTCAAAGCAGACAGAAAGGGTGGCGTAGTTAGCCAAGTGTAGAGACCAAGGCTCGCACAGTAATGCCTCCCGGTGGACACCAGGCCCGGCCTTGGCTGAGGACAGATGACAGTGGCACCTGCCCTCAACATCAAAGCCACTGCCCCCAAGTGGATTCCAACCCACAGTGACCTTGTCAGACGGAGAACTGCCCCACTGCACTGCCAAGGCTGCACAAATCTTTAGGCCTCATCGTTCTCCCACAGAGTAGGTAGTGGTGGGTTCAAACCACTCACCTTCTAGTTATCAACCCCCTACTTAGCCCACTGTGTCACCAGAGCCCCTTGGCTGTGCTTCAGTGGCTCAGTATCCCTGAGTAGACGCCAGTCCGTGTTGTCTGGCGAATGACCAATGGTGAACTCATGAAGATGGGGTGAAGCCACATACGAGATCCCAGGGCGGTGGGGGGGTGGGAGTGAGGATGGGGATGGGGGAGGGGATGAGATGGGATGGCAGGGGAGCAGCCCAGAGACCTCGGAAGAAAAGGGCAACTGAGGAATGTCCCACCACAGGACCACAACTGTCCAGGAGAGAAGAAAGCCAGTGCGCTGAGCATATGGGGGCAGCTGCCACGAGGGGCTTCTGGGGGCTGCGTATGGGGGCAGCTGCCACGAGGAGCTTCTGGGGGCTGCAGTGTAGGAATGTGCAGAGGCCACACTGACCTCTCTCGCTCATCACCCCTGGCTCTGGGACACGTAGGCACCAACTGCTCCAGCCCCCAGGCCCTCCTGCCTCTCCAAGTAGACTTTATACTCAAAATCTCCAAGGGCTGTCCCACTGTCCTGCTTACGGTCCACCAGAGGCCTTGGCCACTCTACTCCATGTACTCCCCACCCCACATCCTAGACTCCCTGCTTCCCCATCCCTGCTCTTTCTGTTCCCACATCTGCACTGCCCCCTTCCACAGCACCAGTGAAATTCTGAGACGCAGCATCTCCTGTTGCTAGGCACTGCGAAGTCCATCCACGGAGACCCTGGGTAACAGCTGAAGAGCCACTCAGGTTTTCTAGGTGCAAGTTTTATGGGTGTGAATTCTGGTGGCTCAGTGGGAAGGAGTTGTGCTGCCAACCCAAGGGCTGATGGTTTGAATCCACCAACTGCTTTGCAGGACAAAGATGGGCAGTCTCCTTCCACATGCTGTAATCCCTCTGAAAACCCACCGGAAGGTCAGCTACGAGTCAGTCCCACCTCCATGATACCCAGTAACTTCTTTACGGAAGTGCACTGCATCTCCCCTAGAGCCACTATTGGGCTGGAACCCCCAACGTCATGCTTAGTAACTGGGCACCTAACTTCCTTCACGCCATCAGAGTGACCACAACAACTTCAAACACCAGCTCAGCCAGGAAGTCTCCACAGAGCCCCAGCTGCAAAGAGCCTGCCCTCCAGGGGCGCCCTCGGGTCAGAGCGGTGCAGTGGGTCAAGTTAAGCTGACTCATAGCAACCCTTGAGCAATATACACCAGCACCCCCAGCCCTCGCCACGCATCCCCAGCCCTCACCACACTCTAAGCTTCACAGCATCCCTGTGAACACCACACGCCAGCACCCCCACCCTCGCCACGTTCAGTCTCGGCTGTATGTGAGCCTCTGTTGCAATTGCTGTGTCAATCACTCCATTTCAGTGAGGGTTTTCCTTTTCTTCCCTTTCAAGCAGGAAGGTCCTTCTCCAGGGACCCTCCGGATTCCTCAAGCCTCGTCGTCAGGGAGCACTCTGGCAGCACTTCCTCCAGAGAGATGTGTTTTCTTTTGCCCGTGTGCGGTACAGTCCATATTCTTTACCAGCTCAAGTCAAGGCGTCAATCCTTCAGTCTCCCTTATTCCTTGACCGACTTTCGCACGCATACGAGCAGTTAAAAACACCACTATTTGAGTCAGATTCACCCCAGTCTTTCAAGTGACTCTCTTTAGCACTTTAAGAAGTCCTTGGCAACAGATTTGTTTCATGAAATAGGTCAGTTAGCTCCTTGGTTGTTTGGGGTTCTTACTGTGTGGATTCGAGGAAAATTAAACCCTTGACAACTTCCATCTTTTCCCTGGTTTTCACGCTGTTTATTGGTCTAGCTGTGAAGATTTTTGCTTCCTTGATACTGATGTGTGATCTACACTGACGACAACAGTATTTTATCTATAGCAGTAAGTGCTTCAAGTCTTACTTTTCCGTATGCAAGCTTGTGTCACCTGTGCATCTCAGGTTGTAATGAGTCTTCCTCCAATTCTGACGCTGCTAAGTTCACACTGGTCACCTTAACTACAATAACCTTGTACAGTCCACGCCCCACCCCCATATTATATTTACAGGCCAGGTAAGCCCTGGTTTACTGTTTAAGGAGCAGATGCAATGTGGGGCTGGCAGAATTCGACTTCTATCCTCTTCAGAAAGGAAAACTGTCCCATCAATAATGTCTATAGCATCATTCAAATAACTACATGGTCAGACATGACAAAATCCCACATGCTCCTGCACCCATTTTCACAAATCACTGGGCCCCATGTTCATTGCAAGACTCACGGACGTTGTTCCCAGTTGTGGGGTTTATTAGGTAAATACTTTGTGGAGAGTTGGGGAGGCAAAGAATATCTCACAAGGCAAGTCCAGGTTTAGTCCAGCAGTCCCAAACCAGATAAAAAAGGCACAATTCCTCAATTAGTGACAGTCCAGGTTCAGTTCAGTAGCAAATATAAACCTCTGGTTTCTTCAATAATCCAGGAAACTTTATCTCAGAGCAGTTAGAAGTCAGTTTTTCCTTCAATCATCCAGCAAGTAAAACCTTCAACTGTGGCTTTTATTTCCAAGGTTCCTCTGGTTACACCTTGCCACAGTCTCTTCACAGCAGTGCCACAGTCTCTTCACAGCAGTGCCACAGTCTCTTTACAATCTATCTACCACCATCACCACCAGTTTTTACAGGGTAGAAAGCAATCTCGTATATTGGTCCCACAGCTAGTGATAATTTACAAGACCATGTGTTCATAGTTAAGGTAGCTGGAGATCATGCCTCCCATTAGGGGCTAAAACAATGACTAGAAAAGTCAATTATCAAAGGGTCTCATACTCTAGTTATACACATCTAACTTATACCCAACCCACAGTTATAAGCCAATCCCTGTAAAGACTAGTATGTTAAGGAAAGCTCTGGTGGCCTAGTGGCAAGACGCTGCACTGCAATCCCAGAGGTGCATGGTTCAAATCCACCAGATGCTCTGCCAGGAAAGGAGGGATAATCTCCTCCTGTACCAGTCAGATCTGATTTGACGGTACACACACACACACACACACACAAAATAATAAAATAATAATAAAAAATTTTTAAAAAAGACTAGTATGTTAGGAATATTAGGTATATACAATGGTTTGCAGTAATGAACAGGGGCTATTTTGTGACTGCATCAAAATATTATTGCTGTTATTACTTTATCATTATGTTAAAGATGATGTGTGTATCTGGGAGCATTTCTCCTCTACTGTTTTGGGTTTTTTTCATCTTCTAACGTTTTTCGTGCATAGAAAAGTACCAGCATACCTCGGGATAATTTCGTTTGGTTCCAGACCTTACAGCAAACAAGTCAGACAACCATTCTGCCTTCCAGCGCATGCAAAAGCTCTTTACCCAGAGCTCAAGAGCCCCCCGGGTTCTTAAGTGGGGTCTCAGAACAATGCGCAACGGCCTTGTGAAAAGGTCTCAAATAACATGGGAAGTACCAGAACGTGACAGAGACACGAGGTGAGCACGTTTGCTGGGAAAAGAGCTCTAATAAACGTCACTGACTCGGGGCTAGTACAAATCCTCAATTTGTGGAAAAACTCAAAATGCAGTACTTCTAAAGCACAACAAAGGCAGTGCAATAAAATGAGGCATGCCTGTACACTCGTGATAAAACGAGGCATGCCTGTGCACGCGTAATAAAATGAGGCATGCCTGTATACTCGCTGTATAGTCTAACACAGATAGTTATGGTATAGCTGGTAGTTATGCTACCAGCCCAAAGGCGAGTGGTTCAAATCCATCAGCTGCTCCTGGGGAGAAAGATGGGCAATCTCCTCCTGTGTGATGTGCAGCTTCTGAACCTGGATGGTCAGCTATGAGTCGGCTCCAACCTGAGGGCAATGTTTGCGGCTTTGTTGTTTTTATTTTGATTCTTTTCAGTACGAACCATACCTAGCTGCTTCCGTCTATGTACAAAGCAGACACACTCATCGGTACTCCAGTGACTGGCTGCTCCACAAGTCCAGGTTCTGGCTGGATAACCTTCATCTACCTCCATTTGTCCTCTGCCAACTGGGGATTGGAGAAGGTACAATTTGTTGAATAAACCCACCCAAGTCAAACACACACACACGGCCATCAAATCAGTTCTGAACCAGAGACCTGCCACTGGTGGCTGTCGTTCAGTGCCCTGGAGTCGGCTGTGGCTGACAGAGCCCCAGCAGCAGGGGGGAACCCTGTCCTGTCCTGTGCCATCCTCAGTCTCAGCATGGTCCAGCCCACTGCTGTAGTCACTGTACGGATCCGGCTTGCTGAGAATCCTCCTCTCTCCTGACCGTCCCAGCATCATGTCCTTCTCCAAGGACTGGCCTCTACTGACCAAGTATGTGAGATGCAGCTTCACCATGCTTGGCCCTAAGGAGCATCCTGGTTTGTCAACGGGGACAGACTGTCCTTTTGGCAGTCCATGGTGTATAGTCAACTGTCCACCAACACGACGGTTCTAAGGCATCGAATTCATGCCCACCTGGGGCCTCCGAGTGTGACCTTATTTGGCAATAGGGCCTCTGCAGGTCTAATGACGGTAAAGACAGAGTTGAGAACACCCAGACTGTGTTCAGCCTCCAGTTCCAAGTGTGTCCTTGTTCAATACAGAAAATCACACACACCGAGATGGTTCATGACAAGACTGAGTGGGAGTGATGTGGCTGTAAGCCAAGATTGCCGGTCACCAGACGTGGAGAGAGGCAAGCTCCTCAAGGCTTTCAAAAGGAACTAGCTCTGCCAACAAGCAGAATCGGGAGTTTTCTGGGCTCCCAGGGAGAGAATAGAGACACCTGACAGTGATACTTTGTTACAGCAATCTTCAGATTCAATTTAAAAAAAAAAAAGCAGTAACAGTTGCTAATGAGTCTGACTCCAACTCAACTCAGGGATGTCAGAACAGAGCAGGCTCTGCAATCGCTGGGTTTTTTTTAAACTAGATCACCAGGTCTTTCTTCCTAGGCCTTTCGAAGTGGACGTAAACTTTTAGCCTTTTGGTTAGCAGCCAAGTGAGTGAACTATTTGTACTATAAAGGAAACTGATGCAGGGGCAGGGAGTGGCACAAATCAGGTGATAACGCACCCTTGGCTGGGACCAGGCAGCTCGCTCACCCACGTGGGAACCACCTCCCCCGGATCATCTGCTGCAGGCACAGGACTGTGTCACTCTGTCTGCACCCGTTGTCTCCCACACCTGCGGAGGACACAGCACAGGCTCGGGCTGGGACCTGAGGCCCTGGACATACTATCTGGGTCATTCATGCCAAGGCCAAGCTGGTACCTTAGTCCAGGTGTCCTGACAATTAGATGGGGTCATTCAGCCTGTCCTGCTTCCTTGTTCACCACCCCATCCTAGTTTCTCAGCATCTACCAGGGTCAAATAGGGTTCCACACCATCCCCCAACTTTGGACCCTATGTGCTGGGGTACCTCAGGCCCCAATGGAGGCCTCTTTGATACTCTTATAACAGACCTGTCTAGTCTTTCTGCTTCCATGGTTCTCAGCCCCGCCTGGACCTCAGGAGCTAAGTGGGGCCAGAAGAGGGTCCTGATGAGCTGAAGAGGAAGTGTGTGTGTGTGTGTGTGGGGGGGGGTGTCCTAGCTCTCTCCCTGGTCCTGCACTGCGATGTGCGGGAGGGGGTTGGGGGAAGGAGGAAACGTCAGGGTGAGAGGCAAAGTGACAGGCCTGTTTGAAGGGCCTCTGCTGAGAACTTTAAACACTCCCTGCCTCTGGAAGACACCACCAGAGAGAACGGTGTAACAACCCAGTGCAGGAGGCAAGCCACTGCCTTTGCATGCTCTCTCGTCCTGGGCCGGAGCCACAACACCCACCCCTCAGGACCAGCCCAGTGACAACCAGGGCTTGGAAGTGGCCCTGAGATTTCCACAGGGCAAGATGATTGTGTAAGAAGGAGCCCTGGGGACACAGCTGTAGTAAACATTCTGTCGTTAACTGAAAGGTTGATGGTTTGAGCCACCAGTCACTGCGTGGGAGAAGGATGAAACTTCTGTAAGACTTACAAACTCAGAAACCCCATGTTCTGCTCTGTCCTGTAAGGTCCCAGTGAGTGAATGACATCAACAGTGGTGGGTAGGAAAGAATTCGACCTTGACTGAAACAACAGAAAGCCGGCCTTTGCCTCTGCTTCTGGGTGGCGAACTCTAGCCTCCCGGACGTTGTTGCTTTTACCTGCCCTTGAGGAACCTGGTGGCGTGGTGGTTAACATGACTGAATGCTACCCAAGAGCTTGGCGGTTTGAAGCCACCAGGTGCCCCGTGGAAAAAGGACGTGGCGGTGGGCTTCTGTAAAAGCTGCAGCCCTGGAAACTCGCTGGAGTCTCTCTCTGTCCTGCAGGATCACGTGAGTCAAAATGACAGCAGCGAAGTCACCGCTTGGCTGAGGGGTTGAATTTGACTCAGTTCCTCCAGGTGTGCTAGTGTGGAACTGGGCTCCAGCCGGTTCTCAATGGCTGCTTGCTAA